CACTGAGATCGATGAACACTAAGAACGAACGACGCAGTATGCCGTTAAAAAAGTTATTTTTTTCCTCTCGTGCTGCATCACACGACACCTAATTATGACGCGAAGCACGGCAAGTGCCTGTACATTTGTGGTCGGACATTCATTGCGAGACAACAGGTGACTGTGCGGGCCACAACTTTGCGTATTATCACTCCCGTTAACAGGACATCACTTCGCCTAGACTTGTTAATAGATGGTCAGTTACCGATTTCCGCCCTAATTAAATGAAGCTTGTTGTGAGCCTGCGCATCCCACAAGCGCTGCACGTGCATTCTCAGCCTTTTACGCAATAAGTAAGCATACGCATTTATTGCACGAACGGTTAGGCAGTAGTGGCCATGCTGACATACGTGGTGAACTCATCGGACATATTGTTTGTTGAGATTTAACATCCTAACATTACCACAAGATTACGCAAAAGACGCCATAGTAGAGGGTTCCGAAAATTTCGGCCACCTGGGGTTGTTCAACGTGTGCCTAAATCTAAGCACACCAAACTGAAGCATTTTCGCCTCCATCGAAAATGCGGCCGCCGCAGCCGGGATTTCATCCCGCAACTTGCTGGTCAGCAGCTTGAGTGCCTTAGCCACTAGACCACTATGGCGGGTCAACTCGTCAGACAGCAAATCACCTTGGAAGGATCGGTGCCCTGGCACCCAGCATATGACGACCCTCTTCTTGCAAACGCAAGCGGTGCACAGTAGTGAGAAAAGCAAATGTCACAACGACGGTTTTTTTTTGTGGTTTCTGAAACATAATAATGCACTGACGAGTTCTAAAGAATCTGTATACACAACTTTCTCTTGGTATAAATCATTCTGTGATGTGTTTAATAGGCGTGAATATCACGCAAGCCTTAGCGGTAAAGGCGCATGAGTAAGGGTATGAAAATCCGCGATCCCAATAGCGTGAGCCAACCACTCCATAAAAAGCGCCATCATAGCACTTCGATGTGTCTGTAAAAACTGAGGAGAGTATTTCTTCGGCAGTTATAAAATGATTGTGCGCCACAGGAGCGTATTTCGGACATCTCCAAAAGATAGGAGGAAAGCAGGACTAGAACAAGAGAGAAGGGAGGGAGGTTAACCAGGCATATGGCCGGTATCTATACCGTATACGCTGGGGGAATGGGAAGCCAAGAGGAGGTCCTGGGGAAACAGGTCACAGGCTGCCACTGTGCTGCGCAGCGGGGTCCATCAGATGGTGTTAGAGGAGTGGGACACCTATTTCTTGAGTTAGGCCTTTCACACGAAGCGAGCATGACTCACTCACTGCAGAACGGGTACAGAAGAGACGAACTGGACAGCTCCATTTGGGAAGATTAGCGGGATGTGCATTACTTGGGCTCGAAGAAAACACACACACACAAGCTGAGTAATCTTTTGCAGGTGAATTGACAATTCGTTTACATCAACATAAATGGTTTCAACAGGGCTAGTTCTAACAGCTTCTGTAGAGAGGCTAGTGCGCATGACGGACAAGGCCAAGCATCTTCAAAGAGCTTGCTTGGCATGGTAGACTGATAAAATATGGCTCTACAGTCTAGTCGTATATGTATCAGGCACATTAATTCGACATTATTAGCCTTTAATGGCTCATGCTCGCGTCGTCTGACCGTCCGTCCGTCCGTTCCCTCGAACAAGGCCAGCAATGGCCTCTCCCCTGAGATGACGGCGGCACGCACATCAACGCCCCTTGTTCAGACGTCTCGTAGCAGCAGTCGAGTTAGTCGAATGGCTCCCAAGCAGCCCGCTAGTGATTTCATCGAGAGCGGTTCAGAGAAGCTCCCCAAGAATGTGGATTCGGTCGATAACAAACGCCACATGACGAATGAGCGATTACGCATGCGGCGAAACCCTGTGTCCATTCCACTGGCAGTATCATGCACAGACGCACACACAAAAAAGACATTGCACAATCAGTGGAACGGCCACAGATTTTCGCCGCACGCACTTTGGAGTTTAAAAAACAACCTTTATTTTTTTTCGCCACCATCCCATGTCGTACGTGACATTGTCTTTAAATATTTCATTGTTCTCATGCAAACGCTTTTAAAATCTGTAACGTGTTTTTCAAAGTCAGGCTTCGCGTCCCCAATTAGGCTTAGGAATTAATGCTCTGGCCTCACAGGTAACCACTCGCTGTGCAGGTAAATTTCGTAATATGAGTGAATGCTTCCTTTTCAATAAATGAGACCACAAGTGCTCTTTTGTAGACTTTGCGTGAACCAGCTTTCATCTGTCCATTTGTCTACCTTGCTGAGATCGAACTAAGCTTGCTGTTGAAAAAACCGCATGATTTAAATGCTCTCTCGCTATGAAATCAAATCAAATCGAAGTTTGTTTACATCGTGAAGATGTGGGCAAGCTTGGGCGAGAAGGGAAACAATTCGCTTGAAGAAAGCCCAAGCATCCATGTACAAGGCATACAATTGAGAACAAAAGCATGTGCAAATACTATCACAAAACCACTAATTTGCGCTACACACAAATAAAGATATTCCGAATATTGTCGTTAAAGTCAATTCAAACACTGTAGCTACATATCAAACGATCGCATTAAATACACGAAAAAAAGGGGAAAAAAGTAACGTGACAGTTAAAACCATCGTTTCCATAATATAAAATGTAAATAATATTTGTAAATGAAAATGAGTACCGCGAGGGAATCGTAAAAAAATATTTTTCCATTGATCAATCGAAAAACGTCAAACAACAAAAAAATGCAAATGTAACATTCTTCAATACGGTAGAGCATTTATTTTTGCATGACATTCCTTACAAAAGTGTTCCTTTATATCTTTTATAGTGCGTTTTTCTCATTTCTATTTCGCTGCTCAGCATATTGTTGAGCAAGCGCGACAAACAATACAATAACACCTGTCTCCAGTATTCATTTCGGCAAAATGGAATGGCCCAGAAGTCTTGTTTTCGCAGAGAATATAAAGGGACATTTTCACTTATATTGGTGATTTATGAGGTCATGTTGATTTTCATAAAGAGACTTTTTGTATTTTAAGGCTAATTTCCATTCAAACAAATTATGTGCGGGCACAAAGTTGAAGCGAACAAACAAATTCCTTGTGTGCGCACATTATTAAACGTTTCCGATGGAACGAAGAATCCTTTTTGCTAATATAAGTATTTTATGGTTATTTTTCTGAGTGGAATTTCCCCTCACCAAAACACATCAATTAAATTGATACAAAATAAGCGTACTATAGAGCAATTATTTTATCGATGCAAGCAGAATGTGTCGGAATTTCGGAATAACACCCACACACATTCAGCCACGCGAAATTGAACGTAGTCTAAATTATTGTCGCAGGTCATGCTTTTTTTTTAAACATCACACCTCAAATTTTTATTGACTTTACGAATTCGATAGGCACCCCAGCTATAGAAGTAAGGAACTGTCAATGGTGACAGAAAGTTGATGCGGATGAAAAAGAACCACCTTTGTTATGCCATAATTGATCAACAACGAGTTTTCTTTACTTCATTTTTGTATGTGTTCGCGTGCTTCATTTATTTCAAGCGTTAAACATTGCAAATTCTTTCCAGTAAAAAATAGGCTGGTGCCAGCAGCGTACATTACGCAAGTGAGCGCTTTGTTGACAGTCCTTATGGCGTTTATATAAAGGTTGAACAATAAAGAGCCTAGTATGCTTCCTAGCGGAACGCCGGTGACTAGCTGCTGTAACGGTGAGACTGCAGTTCCTAAGCTAACACACTGAATCCTGAGGTTGGCATAATGAATCTAATCGCACGCCTAAAAAAAAATCTATGTAAATGCCTACAGATATCTGTTTCGATTCAGAAGCCTTAAGAAAGATTTCCTTTTGGGTCAGTAGTGCAGATTCAGTCGATCTGCCGCGGAGAAGGCGATACTGAGATTGATTAGGTTGAAAGCCTCACTAAATTCTATTAGTCGTTTATGAATAATCTTCTCGAGGCCTTTAAACATATTCGCCATATAGAGATCGGCCTTAAATTTCACAGCTCATTCTTAGCACCCTTTTTATGCAGGACAATAACTTTAGCGATCTGCATCGGTTTCGGAAAGCATGCAGCCCGTCGTTATTGCAAAGTTGTATACTTGCGCAATCAAAGGACCAAAGATTTCGAGCACAAACTTTACCGGTTAGATTGGCATATCGGCAACATCCTTAGCTCTGCTGTCACTGAAAGACACACAAACTCCTCGTACTTCATGTTCGTCCGTTGGCTCTAGAGAGATTTTGTGCTTGCTTTCTTTAATACCATATGTTGCAGAATAAACCCACTGTCCGATACTACTTGCATCCCGAAAAAACTGATTGAACTCTTCCTCAAGTTCTTCACCACGAATATGTTTAACATTTGCAACGGGATCATCGACAGTCGATGACGGCTGCGTACGGTTTAACGGTTTATTGAGTTTTTTCCACGCATCTTCTGCTCCATCACAGTACTCCTTGCCAAACTGGTCATGCAGGTATCTGTTCTCTTCCCTTCTAAGAAACGAGGTTAGTTTATTCCTATATTGCTTGAATATTTTGAAGTCGGTGTCTAGTCTGCTGCTGAAAAACTTTTTTCAACAGTCTTATTTGTTGTTTATTTCTTTTTATGCATTCACAATTTACCCGTCGTTTACTACCCTTACTCTGCTTTATAGTCTTGGTTTCTAGTGTAAAATCCTCGCGGTATCATGAACATATGCAGAATAAAATATAGTTTTGGGATGCAAAGACGCAACGAGTTCATTTTTACAATAAAAAACGTTCAACTGAGCCCACCATTTTGTGGTACTGCAGTTCCCAGCACGAATGAACGGGATAGAGCATCACGCACAATGTGCGGCTTGTCGAGTAACTCGAACATCCTGCCGCGTATGCCTAACTGTGAGAAGCAGTACCGTGTTTAGTCGTTTCATTTCGGCGACACCTTCTAGAGAGAGAAAAATATTCTGGAATAACGTACCTCGGTGCCTGTTGGTCTGTTTGTCGAACATCAGCATCGCATCTTCTATCTGCGAGAGAAGAAAATGCACTGCGATTAATGGTCAATCAGTAAAAAGGCATACAACAAATTGGCGTAACAATGGTCACTGAAAAATCGAAGTGATAAATTCGGGCAGGTGCTTCTCTTTTCACACTCGGTAACATTTGCGGAAACTTAATGCAATGTGAAACTCATACAAGCAGGTAAGAGTTATTCTATTATTGCCACGAATGCGTAGTGAGCCGTTGCGACACCATTCAAGTATAACGTGATCGCATTCTATAATAAGTGGTTCAGAATGACCCATTAAATAGGAATAAAAATGACAAGACGCCACGGACAGGCAGTGGCTGTGTTGTAGGCTGATAATGACGGTTTCATTAAATGTGAGTGTTCGCCTTGTTAAGAAGAGCTCACGCTATCATATACATTCGTGAACAAACTAAGGATAGCCCACCCAATAATATTGAGGTAAGCAGCATTTACAGCGCTTCGAGCCGCGATGCTGCTCATTATGAACAAGGGACAGGTAGGTGGGCTAGCTCCTGCTGGAGACGACTGCCATAGTCTTCGTTGACAGCTCGCATTTGAGGTTGCAGAGAAGCCACATGCAGAAAAAAATTTGCGCTAAAATAAAAACAAAACTGACCACAAAGAAGGAACCCTTAAAAACAGATCAAGCGCAAACTACCAATTGTTTTTATTGACTATAGTTAAATGGTGAAACCGAACATAGATGCGCAGACGCGCCGAGGAACAGGACGTGCTAGCACACCTTATTCTTCAAAAAGGACACCGAGGCATCACTTACACAGCTATCACTTTTCATGTTGTTGAACGCTTCGAAAGCCTCACGAGAACACGAGTTTTCGCTACGTCACAGCATCTTAGACGGTTGAAATCGTGCTTCATATCCACAGGCTGCGCAGTGAGCAGGCAAATTAGCCATTTCATCATTTTCGATCGACAACTGGTGTTCACGTGCGCGCAGTGGATTGTTTCGCCCACATAAGATTTGCCGAAAGAATCTCGTATACCACTCCCAAATCGCACCACCGGGTTGGCATGTTTCTTGCTACACAGACCAGTGCGCTCTTGGCCGCTAGAAATTCGCGGCCACAACGTCGAAAGCTTCTAAGGTGCAGAAACACCATGCCGACACTGTGGCAATTGGCAACCTTAATCAGGTTGTGTGTACCCCGCTGTAAATAAGCTAACACTATCGGCCCAATGAACGAGTCTTTCAGCCGCGGCTTCCACGAGTGCCCTTATAGCTTCTTCAGCAAGGTTTCAGAGACACCCCGAGGCAGAGACAGCGGGAACCCGGCTGCCTTTAGTAGTCCAATCTGAGCACGGAAGCTGGCCAGCCTCGCATGCGAGCACGACATCACCAGCGCAGACTCCAAACACATTGACGCAATCGCCCTCTTAACTACCTTCGAATGTGAAGATTTGTATGGTAAAGGCTTCTTTCTAGCGCACGGACAGGACGCATACCAAGCATGCTGATGCTTCATTATGAGCTTAAGATCTCGAACTGAAGCGTTCCTTCCTGCAGTATAGCTCGTAAGTAAAACCGCTCCCATACTTGTTAAACTTCGATAAAACGTTGTTTTCCTAATTATCATTTGTTTGTCCAAAACTACCAGCAAGTCGTACACGTACGTAAACATTTTTAACACTCCATCGCTTTTAAACGCCTCAAGCACATCCTGGTCAATATAGGCTAAAAAATGTTGCACAAAACAGAGGCCGCACAGGAACCAATACAAATGCCTTCTCTTTGCAAGTACAAACTCTTGTCAAAACCTATGAATGTTTGTTTCAGATAAAAGTCTAAAAGCGACATAAAATTATCAACACTCAGACCCGTCGAATTATGAAAACCAAAAGTTCATTCCGTGGAATGCAGTCCATAACAGACTTAAAAAAATTAAACATGGGGAGCGGACTCAAGCATATCTTGTAAATTCACTGAGAATGCCAGCGCAGATGAAACTGTCTTGAAAAACCCGCAAAACTTCCATAGAATTGTTCATCGCGAACGCACTATTTACACTCAGCCGATTCCGGCATTTTCCTGAAAACATGCTAGCCTGGCCATGAACATTTTCCCCTCACAATAGTGCGAACTTGAACTCATACTTTAGGCGTTTTTAGCACTAAAAACAATGACAAGGTGCCGGATTCACTTCCTTGAATCGCATTTGCAAGTTTTATTAGTTTGATGTCCTTATACAATGCCACTGCTTTAGCTGTAGACTAAAATAACAGACTATCAGATACAGGTACATAGCAATAACACGTGAGCTCGTGAGGTTTCGGGAGCGTGCTTTATAAACATGATAAGTGATACCTGTGTAAGTGAGGCCTTGGTATCGCTGCAGAAGCCTCCTTTTAAAGACGATAGTCTTTCTTGGGGACCTTCGCCGCAAAAATTTTGGTCTGTCTGTCTGTACATTTGTCTGTCTGTCTGCCTCTTAACGTTACCCCAAATGACACCAAACGATACCCCAAACGGCAGACCCCATCCGCGGCGTCCACTACTATTGCTCAAGTTTTAGCGTTCATAGTTATGCGTATGGAAATAAAAAAGCGATGATTCCGCATATCTGAGGCACTATAACAACACGTCAATATTCTGTATGTGAGCATTTATACTTGAAAAGGCATAAATAAGTAATTCAATGGACCGTAGCGTTTATCCCGCTGCGTTGACAATGCAACGCTTGCACGAAACTGCAAGTGTTCACGCTTTGCTAAGACGACATGGTGGCGGCACCTACCTGTCGCCTTGCGTTCTAAACCTTATCGCCTCTAAGACGGGCGCGCACGCCGGGCGCTTCGCATTCCAAGGTAACTGCCAAATAGCGCTCATGTGTTACGGGTGAAGTAACTCGATGCGCTCATTCGCCTCCGCTGCACGCTCGAAGTACTCTGAAGCAGCGCCTCCAGAATACCATTCACCGATTTTCTTGCGCAGAACATCAAATAAACGTTTTGTTCACTCTCTACAGACGCAAGACTATCGTCTTTCGACTACATTTGCAGTGTAACTTGCAAATGCCAATTTTTTTTTATGAATAAAGTGGTTTAGAACGTGATGTTCCTCGGCGCGTCTGCGCTGCTGTGTTCAATTGCTCTATTTCACCGACGCTCTACGGTCAATAAAAAGACTTTGCGCTCGATCTGTTTAAGTGTTTCTTCTTTCTGGTGTCCTTTTCTATTATAGCGCATTTTTTTCCTGCATAGAATGAACGAACTAGCTCTTCAAGACGTCCTTATCAGAAATGTTACACACCATTCTTGAGAAAAGGCACCAAATTAAGTTCGAATGGTTACCAAGAAATTCTGGGATTATTGGCGATGATCTTCCATTCCGCTTATAGCCGGGACTGACGTTGCACGAAACCTCCACATGCTCACCCGACACTGCACCACGTGAGATTATAAAATGCCGCGTTTTACACACACACGATTACATTCCCTTAATCCGACCTTCAGCCTTGCTTCAAGGCTCCGCCGAAGTGCTGCTAGCATCTTGCCTTGATCATGATTGGGTGTGCCATTTACTCAAGCGAGTTTCGTTCGCATAGGGATGGCTGATACCGCGCCCTGCGATCACTGCGGCGACGTATAAAAACCATTCAACATGTTCTGAGCGATGCCTCGCAGTATACACAGAGACAGTCGGTTGCAACGCTCTCAACAAGTTAGACAAGCCTGGTTTGTCAGAAGGAAGAAAACGCCATAGCCAGGACGTCGCAGAAGAAGGCGCCACTGGCCTGTCCGAGTAGAGCGTCCTCATCTCCTTAGTTGTATATCTCTGCTTCCCGACCACAATTCGGGATTGCCTATCCTCTCATTGCTGCTTACGGGCTGCACACATGTGATGCATTCAGACAATTCAACATAACCCGTTGCGCAGGGCCTATAGTATTACGCCTCAACCGCCGAAGTGTCGCTTCCATGGCCGAGCGTCTTTCGCGTTTGCAGCCGAACATCGTAGACCACAACAGCGGATATGATTGTACACTATACTTGACTAAAGAAACAATAGATATTACTAAAAATCAAGGTCCGCTATGCAAGGAGACTGTAACATTGGAGCGTATATACACATATTACCTCCGCAATTCAGGTAAAGAAGTAATGCGCAGCAATGAAAAAGTGTGTGCAAGATAATTTCGCAGACGAGTTAAAGTAGTGAGAAAAGGAACCACTGTAGTGCAAGAAAGTTTGCAGATTATGGCGGCAGGAGTTCGCGTCGCGCGATTAAGAGAATTAAGGTGAAAGTGGTTGGGTGCACACCGGCAATTAATTTTAATTAAAACGATTGATTAAATGGTGACCACCGTAAGCATTTCTGAGAGAAGGCCCCCCTGCTGTTGGTGCCTTGGCTGTATAGGCACCCCGGCGCCCATCGAAGCGAGACTGAAATTTAGGCGACGACACCTGTTCTGCGAGAAAAGTAGACGCCCCGTCGTCATCGATGAACAAGTCACGTGACAAACGCAATTACAGCGGCTGTTGTTTCGGTGCCCGCGGCAGAAACCAAAGGAGCCTGAAATCCTCTCGCAGAGAAGCCCTAATATCGTATATATTAAATTCCCCAGCAGCGCGCATTTCTCAAGAGGAAATTCTCATATGCCTTTTGGAAGTTGCGAGCGCACACAGGACACCGAGAAGGAACACTCGCGCATTCTGATTAAAACGCCCAGGGCTTTCTATTCACTAGATGCAAAAAATTACAAGACAGCACTGAGGTGCTTTTTTTCTTCTTTCTTTTGTCGTTCCATTCTACTTGGTTAAAAGAAAGAAGCCGACTGAAGAACTTTGCAGATGTGCACAAGGCGGCAGCTGATCACAGCCATTACACCAGTTGTCCGTCGTAGGTAAACTGGCTGGAGATTAGCACAAGTATATATATATATATATATATATATATATATATATATATATAGTTATTCAGCGGCGGTCTAGTGGCTAAGGTACTCGGCTGCATACCCGCAGGTCGCGGGATCGAAT